AAACTTATATTAAAGTTTTTCTTCATTACCCATTCAAGCCGTCTCCAACCATTACTACAGACTTACAGTTGAACCACTGGGGGGCAAATATTTAGCATATTTTAAATGTAGATAAAATCAGATTGTTTATTTTCCTTGTGGATTGTATAAAATTTTCAGCGCTAAACTCTTTTATGTGTGAGTTGAAATTATTTATTGATTTATTGTTTGGAAACTGATTGTTCTTGACATTAGTCAAACACTATTATTAAAGACAGTTTTATAAATGACGTTTCAATGAATTTAATTTTGATACTTTGTCAAATAAAATGTTAATTTCTAATTCAGATTAATGCACTGTTGGAGGACCTCGGACTTGGACAAGTTAAACACACTCGTGTCCATGATCTCACAGAATCTGAGAAAAGACGATTAAACGTAGCTTGTCGACTTATGTTAGACACCGGTAGGTGGCACTACTATCAAATGGAATAAGTTAATGTTCGAAAAGTTTGCCCTCTCGTTTTTAGTCATTTTTATAACGATAAATTGTCTACACTTTGTATAGAAGTTGATAAATATATATATATATTTATATTTATATATATATATATATATATTTAAATCTACAATACTTTAAAAAAAGTAAGATTTAAACTAATAAAAACAATCTGATTAGAAATACTTAAAAAAAATCGATACACCAGAAACCTTAGCTATAATTAGTGCTAGAGTGTAGTAGTTTGGTGTCCCATCTGTTAACTATAAAGTCGTGCAAATAGAATGAAAATAGTTTAAAGTTATAAGAAGTTTTGTGGAATGTCTAGGTACTATAAGACTGAATGACAGAGTTTATTTGATGTTACAGATATAGTGTTGTTGGACCAACCTACGAAAGGAATGGACATTTTTGACTCTTTCTTCTTAGTGGAATATCTTCGTCAGTGGGCCAGTAGAGGGCGCATTGTCATCCTTACCATCCATCCCCCAACTTATGAGATATTTACTATGATTTCAAGGGGTATTTATTTTATTTTCTTAATAAAAACCTAAATCACCTTAGATTATTTGGTATGGTAACATAACATTTCGTGATATAGAACGTTCTCAGTTTGGTATAACAAGTTATCATTCATAATTCCATCTTAAAATGACAGGATTCGGTTTTTACAAATTACCTTAAACAAACCCTCTGCTTTCTTTATCCATGTAGTTGCTCTAGTTTCAACGGGAAGGATGCTGTATCATGGCAAGAGAAGAGACATGCTTCCCTATTTTGCTTACATAGACCTTCCCTGCCCGGCTTACAAGAACCCGTCTGATTATTACTGTAAGTTATCACTGTTTAGACGCTGAAAGTTTATGTTGACAGCTTTAAAAATGTATAAATTATAATTTCCAATGTATTTATTTTATTCAACGTCATGTTCTTAAATGATATTTTTGAACTAAAGTTTTTTTTTGTTTTACTCAAGTACAAAAACAAATCTAAAGTAATGTATATTCGTGTTGTTATTTTTAATGTTGCCTGATTTTTAGGATCTTTCTGCATTAGTTACATGATTACAAATCTAAAGTAATGTATATTCGTGTTGTTATTTTTAATGTTGCCTGATTTTTAGGGATCTTTCTGCATTAGTTGCATGATTAGAAATCTAAAGTAATGTATATCGTGTTGTTATTTTAAATGTTGCCTGATTTCTAGGAATCTTTCTGCATTAGTTACATGATTACAAATCTAAAGTGATGTATATTCGTGTTGTTATTTTAAATGTTGCCTGATTTTTAGGAATCTTTCTGCATTAGTTACATGATTACAAATCTAAAGTAATGTATATTCGTGTTGTTATTTTTAATGTTGCCTGATTTTTAGAAATCTTTCT